CTGGAGGCCACAGCCCGCCCTGGTGGTGGTAGTTGGCAGACTGCACTCGGCTTCACACTCCCCTTCCAAGGTCGTGGTTAGGAGAAACTACGGGGGCCACGAAATGGTGGCGAAAAACGCCCCAAATTGCAGCACACTGAAGCCCCAAAATTTGGATGAAATGCATTAGTTTCCGTTTCAGGGTGGAAACAGTTGTGGCCACCTTGTTTTATGGCAGCCCACTGCCATCAGGCTGTATGGATGTGTGTGGTAAATGTGGGGAGTGCTGGCATAATAGTGTACAGCACATTTGAGTTGGGGGTTGGAAAGGGACTGAAAGGTTGAAGCCCACAGATCCATTTACTAGCTTACCATACAGATGGCCCCCAGTCTTTACCAGTCTTAATCCCGTTCCTGTGCTGCATATTACAATCGTAATATTTAAAGATCAGCAACAGCAATTAGCAATAAAGCCCTAAGCAACGCGGAACACCTTAATCACCTGTGTAACAATAGCATTGCAGGCTGCTTCAACGCAAACAAAGTTGAAAATACCCTGCTCACCAACCAGCCAATGTGGTTTTGAGATGGGGGGTGTGTGGGGACGCCAGGAGGACGGGCCCCCCAGGCAAGCCATTTTGATGTGGAGCCAGGGCGCGGGTTTGCCGGCAGCAGGGCAGCAATGTTAGTGGTGAATGGCCGGGTGAACCAGGGGGAGTTTTGCAGAGGGGCCGTCTTTACAGCGGACAGCACCACTGTGCTGGCTGCGGGCCATCTGGGGAATTGGAGCCTCCAACAGGTCTGGAAAAGGGACAAAAGGACATGTAAGAAACAGGCAAGCAAGATACGGGACAAAAATCAAACTAAACTAAAACATATCAAGGGGGAAAAGGGGGCCTAATCACAATCACAAAGGAAGGACTGATATGGCGGTTTCGAACATTTTTTAAGACTGACAGACATGTATATTAAACGGTCTAAACATGATGCCTTAATAGGAAAAGATGCTTATGTTAAAGGATAATTTCTTCGTTCATATGGCATCCAATGCGATATCAGATTACACTGCTAATCAGGTGGAAAGAGTTAAGTTGGGTTGCTGAATCCATGGAGGTATTGACTCCGCTGGTCTTGCTGGACATTCGACAAGAACATGCAATATTTTTCGTTTAAGGTTTTTCTTGTCAAACTGTCATTTGTCATGAACGAATAACTGACAGTCAGTGCTTTTCATGTACGGCTTTTTAAATTAACGGCTGGAGGAAAACCCCAAAAGCTCCAAAGTCAAACCGTCTGGGGGTGTTCACGCTACATGTCTCATCAGAAACATCGATATTACGGCTTTGACTATACTGCTATCTGCTCAATTACTAGGCAACCCACCTGTTTTCTGCTGCAATTTCTTGCTTAATACACAGCCCTACTATTTACTTTTCAGGGCAAATCATTAGAGATCGCCGTGTTTTTTCATGTCTGGCCCTTTAACTTGTTTTTGTTTTCCAAACGTTCATAAAACCTCACTTTTGAATAGGTGAATCTGCCCACTACATGAAGCAAACCAATAAGTCTTTTGGGGTGACGTATTGGTGCATCCTTTGGAGCTGCTAGATTGAAACATATTTGTTGGCTTCTGTTTACACTTTACAAAGGTACGTATTTAAAGTACCTTTTATGCCATTATTGTGTTGTTAATTTGGTGCAAAATGGCAGAAATTCCCTAGGTATTCAGAGTCGTGCTATAGTCTACAGGACATTTCAAAATTTTTGCTTCAGCGATCACCCACCCCTAGCAAGCCATCTGGTTTACAATTTGGCGTGATTTACTTAAAAGTTATACTGGTCCTTTATCTCGTTGTGGCTATTTTCCTTTTTTTTGGGATGCACCATCAATGACTATGGTTAATATTTACAAAAATCAAAGGAGCATTTTGGTCATAATCATTATCTCTTTTAACAAGAAACAAAACATTCCAATCTAATGGAACAGAAACAGAAAAACACACACTCACACTTCACCCAACCACACCTTAACTCCCACATACTTGGCTATTTCCTTATCTTCTAAATCCAACTCAAAAAAAAAATAATAATATATTACAAATAAATAACACACAAACATTGGGGGGAGCCCATATCGTACCGGTTCTCCAGATTCTGGCGCATTGTGGGGACGGTTTCCTGCTGATTTGGAAGCACATCTTCAGGGCTTCATGACCTTTTCTGTCTTTGGGAGGGAAGGGAGGGAGCTGCTGCTTTATTGGGCCGACCCGGAGTCCTCGGCTGCCCGCTGTAGGCTGGGGTGCACGGCTGGGCGGGATGCCGGTCCCACGGGCAGGTCGGGCCCACCAGGGATGGCTTCTTAAAGGGAGCGGGGGGAAAACCTCACGGGAATATACTTCACCTGGCATGGAGGGACACCAGAAGTGGGCGGATATAAATCTCCCAATTGCTTTACAAGGCCAATACTAAGGGTGCGTATGAGGTGCAGGTGGGCGCACTAATCGGGTGTTTTTTAACAAAATCATTGGAGGGAGCTGTTTACCGTGCCGTAATAGGAATTAGAATCTCAAAGCGGTTTTTTTATTGACCGATGATGTGTAGATTCCAGCTTACAGCATCTAGCGGTTAAAGTTGCAGATGCAAACTAAACTGACCACTGTCGCATTCTATTTGAGATCTCCATTGAAAACTGGTTGGTGAAGTGTTGGGGAGGGAGAAAACTACAGTGAGTATTGCAAAGGTCATCGAAATCCCAAAAAGGCCCTATCTAAAGCCCAGTCTTGGTTTGTCCATTTCTAGCGGCTACTGTAGAAACTGGTGGTTATCAACCCGGACGGACTGGGTAGAAAATGACCCA